TTTGACACCGTGGCGCGCATCTATCTAAACGAGATCACCATGTGGGACGACCCGCGCATCCAGGCCCTCAACTCGGCCGAGGTGGTCGCCGCCCTGCCCTCGCAGCCCATCGTGGTCATCACCCAGTCGATCGCCGCCGGCACCACCAGCGTCTTCACGACGGCGCTCAGCGCCACGGTGCCCGATTTCGCCACCCAGGTAGGATCGGGGGATCTGGTGACCTTCCCCGTGCAAAGCGCGGGCAACAACCGGTCTATTGGGTTGGACAACATCAATACGATGACCTACCTCCGCGACAATGACTACTCCTTCGCATTCTGGGCGAACTACGACGTGCGCCAGGTACATTGACCACTACCACTTCCACCTCCTCCTCTTGCATGGTGGCACGTTTGGGCTCACAATTCAATGTTGTGTGCAGGCCCGAAAGATCGGCGCCGCGGCGATGAAAAACTCGGCCGGCAGAGTGGTGAGCCCCACCACGGAATCGCTGATCAGCGCCCTGAGCGACTACGAAGCGAGCGGACAGACCTCGTTCGAAAGCCTGCTGCTGTGTACGCCCTCCTTCGCCCACGTTGACCTTTTCTTTGCTTGCAATCCAACTCACGCGGACTTACTCACTGCGGCGCACAACTGCACAGCACCGGGCGCGGACAGTTGGCCCATTGCTTCGTTTGCCTCGATCATCTATCACCAAAGCACCATGGAGGACTGCGCCGAGGCCGCAGCGCTGGCCAACTTCCTGTACTGGGCCCAGACCTCGACTACCGCTGGTCAGGTGGCCGATAGGCAAGGCTTCGTGCTTGTGACGAATGAGGCGCAGCTCCGTGGCCGGTTCCTCAACCAACTCAAGGCCTTCACCTGCGACGGAGACACCGTGAGTCATGTGGCCAACTGCATCAACGACGGCCAGCTGTGCTCGGGTGCGGGCGTCTGCACCAACAACAAGTGTCTGTGCAATACCGGCCGGGAGGGCCAGTACTGCGAGGGCACCATCTCCGGGTCCTCCGACAACACGCTCGTCATTGCCCTCGGTAAGCCCCCAACTCTCTTCATTCCAACACAGTCATGCGTTCACTTGTGACGAATGGTGGATGTGCGCGCAGGCGTGGTGATCCCATCGGCGGCCCTGGTGC